TGTTATGAGCATTTGATTGTCAATTATTGCTACCTCTTTGAATAATCCTTTGTAACGAGCCATAGAAGATTTCAGCTCACGTAAGTAATATCGTTTACACGATATGAATCATTAAAAATGTACTTTTGAGCTGCACTGAAATGTCTACTCTTTATTGATGTTCTTATGAATAAATTAAATTTTAACAGGTTTTTCACTATGACTATAAAGCCAGCGTTCTCTGAGGGAAAATATAATATTTCATCTTCGCTAAGATACTAATTAACCAGCAGTTCATCAATGTCATCAAATACCAAATCATCAAAACCATCGCCATCATCATGTGCCAAAAAAGGGAATTTTCCTAAATTTGTGCTATTTTCAATTGCTCTGACCAGTAAACTTGCTTGTATCCAAAGAATATTTCTCTAAATTTGTGAGTGATATAAACATATTTCGCAAAAATTAAATCTGACAAATAAAATGTAAGTCCAAAAATTTAGAATCGCGCAGTATGGAATAAAATCGGGGAAAAAATTAAACATTTTTTAATTTCATAACATGGTTTGATCAAAACCGTGTAAATAGAATTAGGTGTATGTATAAACAGACACTGCATACAAATTATAATAAAAAAGAACTGCACTTTTTTCTGTGAATTTGTCCTCGTTGTATGCCTTGTAACAGAATTTGTGGTAAGACTAAATACACATATCTACTGCATCTACTCACCCTCCTTGAAGCACATAATCCATTTACATATATATGTATATTACACACTCGTATATACAAATACACCCATGTGTCGATACATATGAACATGTATTGTAAACACGTTTTAATGCCAACGCTAAATTGCAACCATTTGCTTGTGCTTCCGCTTTTCTTTTGATAACGTTCAACTTAATCAAAAAGAACAACGTCCACATGGACAAACTCGTGAATTGCCAGTGTTGCCACGCACCGAAAGCACATCCGAATTTATGCCACTGGAGGAAAAGGAGGTTGAGTACTTCTTCGCATCGGATGCCTCAGCTGTCATTGAACACACGAATCGGGTCATTTATTTAGAGGTAATGGTGTTACGAATGTATATATGTACATGCATAAGAAACGACTTTAAACATTTTTATGTTGCAGGATGATGATGTGGCTGCTGTTCGAGATGGAACATTGAGTATCCACCGTCTGAAGAAATGTCTAGATGATCCACATGCACGAGAAATTACAACATTAAAAATGGAAATCCAACAGATCATGAAGGGCAACTACGACTACTTCATGTTGAAAGAGATTTTCGAACAGCCCGAGTCAGTGGTCAACACCATGCGTGGGCGCGTGCGATTTGATTCCAAATCAGTAGTACTGGGAGGTATTAAAGAGTTCATACCAGAAATTAAGCGTTGTCGTCGGCTGATGTTGATTGGTTGCGGCACATCATATCACAGCGCCGTAGCCACTCGACAACTACTCGAAGAGCTCACTGAGTTGCCAGTTATGGTTGAGTTGGCGTCCGATTTCCTGGATCGCAATACACCCATATTCCGTGATGACGTTTGTTTCTTTATTTCGCAGTCGGGTGAGACTGCCGACTCTCTGATGGCCTTGAGATACTGTAAACAACGAGGAGCTCTCATTGTCGGTATAACTAATACAGTCGGAAGTAGTATATGCCGTGAATCTCACTGTGGCGTTCACATTAATGCTGGACCTGAAATTGGTGTCGCCTCAACAAAGGCTTATACTTCACAATTTATTTCATTGGTGATGTTCGCTCTTGTTATGTCTGAAGATCGACTTTCGTTGCAGCAACGTCGTTTGGAAATCATACAGGCGTTATACGAGCTACCAGAACGAATTAGACAGGTATTAAAGCTTGATAGTCAGGTTCAAGAATTAGCCAAGGATCTCTTCCAACATAAATCGTTACTTATCATGGGCCGCGGTTATAACTTTGCTACTTGTCTGGAAGGTGCACTGGTAAGTAAAGCTGTTTCTTTATTTTAAATACTCTAAATGAAGTCGAAGCAAAAAGTTTACAAAATAATTTATTCACTTATCTATTGCAGAAAGTAAAAGAATTGACATATATGCATAGTGAGGGTATCATGGCAGGAGAACTTAAACATGGCCCATTGGCGCTCATTGATGATCGCATGCCAGTTATGATGATTGTTTTGAGAGATCCAGTTTATATCAAATGTATCAATGCCTTACAACAAGTAACGTCACGTAAGGGCTGCCCAATAATCATTTGTGAGGAAGGCGACGAAGAAACAAAGTCTTACTCATCACGTTCGCTGGAAATACCACGCACAGTAGACTGCCTTCAAGGCATTCTAACGGTCATCCCGATGCAATTGCTCTCATACCATATTGCCGTGCTGCGTGGCTGTGATGTTGATTGTCCTCGTAATTTGGCGAAATCTGTAACCGTGGAGTGATGATTTGCGTCCAATTGTTTATATACTTGTATTTAAGATATTTACTTATATACATATATTTGGCTGGTTTTTGTACACTTGCTATTGCACTTATATACGTGTAGGTTCATATACCATATACGTATGTACATATAATTATATATTAATTGATTGATATTAACAGTGATTTTATGTACATATATTGCTTTCCTTGAATATGTTTTAATCTGTTTTCTATAGAGCTGGGCCTTAGAATTTAAAAACATATTTACACAATTTTAATAAAAAAAAATTTACAAAAATGATTTTACTCTTTCCATCTATTCCATTGGCAAATTACGTATGTATATCTCACAAAACATTACGACAGTATTAAAATGGTATTAACAACAATTAAATATGTATATGGAATACAAGTGGGAAGTTATTGGAGACTTTAAGATGGTGTGCTTTTTGAATGGAATGCAAGGTGTATATACTAAATACTCCTGTTACCTTTACATGTGGGATAGTAGAAATGATGTTGCTCACTACCGCCAAAAACATTGGCCGGTACGTACTGATTACGAAGTGGGAAAATGCAATAATAAAAGGGAAGCAATTGATCTTCAACTATATCAATGCTGCCATTGCGTGTAAAGTTGAGTCTTATTAAATAATTTGTAAAGACTCTTAATCCCGAGTCAGAAGCTTTCAAATATCATCATCGGATGAAGAATACCTATATTAATTTAAAGATATTAGTGGAACTTCTTCAGAAGAACAAGGAGCTCGCTTTTATCAAGATATAATGAAATTTGAGAGATGTTACCAAAGCCGGTATACGGGGGACTATATTTGAGGGTAAATAAGAGAAACTTTTACGAAACATGACCGGAAAAGTAAAAATGTTAATTTTTAAACATTTGGAGCCTATTGTAAGAATGAATCCAAAATAGATAATATATTATTAATAACGTAACTTTTAATATATTATTAATATGTAAAACTTTTGTGTATTTTTATTAAGTTGAATTATTCTTATTTTGAGGTATAAAAGCAACAAAAATATGATATGCATAACTCGTGCGCAAAAATGCTGTAGACCGGTTATATTTTATATATTTATATTTAATTTATTTTCTATTTTATTGTCTTTTCTACTTTAAAAATAATTCTCTTTCTCCTCAACTGTAAGTATTTTTTATTCTATTAAGCTGCTCTGCAATCGTTAAATTCCCACCCTTTCATTTTATAGATTTTGTATGCGGGTTGTTTTTTAATTGGAAGACTTGCATTTACATTTCGATATTCATCTCTGCGAATTATTACTTTTTTTAATAGTATAGCTTATTTAGGCCGCTACTGAGTGTAAAAAACACCCTTTAGATGTTTAAATTTTGTGTGCTTAATATTTTTTTTTGTCTATTTATAGAAGATGATGCTGATTAAAATCCAAATTTTATTATTCTCATACCTTAGCAAACTTATTGTTGACAACGATTCCTATACCGCAATATAACCAAATATTTTAATATTTCAAAACACTAAAACACTTGCTTTAAACAACTTAAATATGAACATTACTTCCTTAACTGAGCTAATTATATTTTTATATTCATTAATTGTTTGATAATTTATATTATTTATTTAATAATTTGTAGCTGGATATGTGGGATAAACTACCATTACTTCATGATTCGTAGTAAAAGGAATATGGGTTGTCATTTTCAATAATTTCAATTTAAACAGACGAAAAAGTTTTTGCCCAGCTAGCTTATTCTAACCGAACCACTGTGCGTTGACCGACTAAACAGCCTGTAGTGTTTGAGGACGAAATCATCTGCTCCTATGCGCATCCCTTCATGTTCTGTATTTAGTTATGTATGGATAAGATTCAGGATATATTTTAGAGTGTTAAAGAGAGCCCAGTATGAGTATATACTATGTTTGGATATACCAGTATGTATATTAGGGCATTTTCGAACATCAAAGAGATTTTTCAGGTGATTGAGCTCCTGTGTGTTCATAAATCCGCATAGACACACATATGTAGATGTACATAAATAAGTATACCATATGTACATATATAAAATTAAAACAATTATCCTATCATCCCAGCAAAGAGATAAACAATTTCTGTTAATGTTGATATTGGTTGAAACATTAGAACACTAGTTTGACTGACTTTAACCAATTCTATAACGATTTATAACGGGTGATTTCATAACGATGGATCGAAAACGCATTTCTTCAAGTCTGTTTTAAAATCGTATTTATGACTTTATCCATCCTGTTGGATACGTACATAACTAATGAGACAAATTATTCCTAAGTAAGTTATTGCTATTTATATTTTTTTTTACAAAATATTTATTTTCTCTTAACAGACCGATCCGATTTCATGTTCGCTCAGAACAAATCCCTTTAGCACCTCTCCCGACAGTGTGAAGATGGATGAAATCTGATGAAAGGGATATTATAAATGTACATGTGAATATTTATCAACGGATAAATGAAATATAAATGTGTACATATATATAAAGGGTGGGGTTGATTCCCCGGCCCCGGAGTTCTCGAAGGGAGGATTTTCCAAAAAGTTAAGTGAATAGTTAAAAATTAGAATGCTTTTGATAGATGATTAATTCAAAGATTTATTTAAACGTTGGGAACGTTTTCTAGCCTTTGTAGATTATCACGAAAAACCGGTAAAGCTATTACCGCTTTAATTAGCAAAACATTGGAAAATTACAACCTTCGTTTGGAAGACTGCCGTGGACAGGGCTACGATAATGGTAGCAATATGAGCAGTACATATGAAGAAGCACAAAATCACATCCAACGTAAAAATAAGTACGCTGTTCTTTCGCCCTGTGGTACCCCCACGGTATATTTGGCTGGAGGCGACTCTGCTGAATGCTGTCCTGGAGCAATAACTTTTTTGGTGTCGTTCAAAAATGTTTCAACATTTTCAGTATCAGCGCACAACATTGGAAAATTCTGAAACCCAAAATACGCAATTCACTTTACTGTCTTTGCGAACATGTCGAGACGATTTTACCATCAGCAAGAAACAAAAAACCACGGAAACGACCTACATGAAGAAGTAGATGAAAATTGCAGTAAAAATGGAATTGACTTCAAAAAAATCGTTCTCATGATGCAAAAAATTCTTCGGTTGATGTATGTTTGAAGAAACTGAATTTAACTGTCAAGTCTTTCCATCCCTCTATATTCACATATTTCGGTACAATCTAAAAAAATATTTTTGACTGAAAGTATATTTATAAACTGATTTATATATATGACAAAGTTATTTTAGATGTGATGAGAGAATAAAATACTACTTGATTTTTTCTTCACTATTTGACTTATTCTTCAAAAACACTGAAGTAGTAAGTGAGAAGATAGTTAATAAAATGTATAAAGTATTACAAAAAAATTCCTGTAGGAAGGGATACCCACTTTTTACCCCTGCGCCCAGTTTTTCTCTCGGTGGCCCTGCTGGTACTACCTTTCATTCCCCTTATCGCTTATCTTAACAAAATGTATAATTCAATATAAGTACCATATGTAAAAAATATTTAAAGTTCATAAGCTTTAAGATTTAACGATGTTTCATCTAATATCAGGTATGCGAATTTTGAATGATACTTTCTATCTTGCATTTGTGAGGGTGAGTAAAATTTATGAAACCGAAATTCTATAACAAAACTTATAAAAACAAAAAAAACTTCACAAATACAAAAGGATCGTTATAAGAACTTGAATCCGATCGTTCAGTTTGTATGACAGCTAAATGCCATATTGATCCGATCTGAACAATTTCTTCGGAGATTGCATTATTGCCCTAAACAATAATCCATGTCAAATTTCATAACGATATCTCGTGCCAAACTTAATGTACTATCTTATAGGTTAACAAGAGACAATCTTAAAAATAGTAGTGATAAGTTCCAAAACAAGTGAATATATTGTGCACAACACCATTTGCTGGTGTCGAATGGGCCGACTCAGACACATTACACAGATAAAAACAGTTTAGGTAATCTGCTGAAATATGTATGGATATGAATTTCACTTATAAAGAATTAATAAAATCGCAGTTGATTTTAAACTTGGTATTACTGTTGTTATGGCAACGTTACGGCAATGTTAAGGGTTCGCCATTCATGGCTTAACCGTGTGTTGTGGCAGTGCAGTTGCTATGGCATATTTAAGTAAATTTAATCGAATATAAATAAGGTACTTGTGTAAAGGTGTTCAGCGCAAGTGATGAAATTAATTTAATTATAAGTTTAAAAGTATAACACTAAGTTTTATAATTTACGTTTTCAAAAACCATAAATTTGAGTAATTCTTCAGATATGAGCGTTTCGGTAGAAAGTGCGTCTAGTCAACGTTCTCATTCACAAGCTCCAACGCTTACCTCAGCCGCGCGGCCTCCTACGTCGCTGCTATTCTCAGTAAGTAATAATCGAAGAATATATTAATTGATATTCATAACATATTATATATGGCCATGTATAAAGAAAGGCGTGAGATTCCCTTGTCGACTTATGAAAGGAACTATAAAAACTATGTACTACATTCACTCGGTAGTTAAATTCATATCCTCTTTACCTACTATGATGTACAACGTTTCAACGAATCCTGTAATTCATATTAAGTTACCATTTATTTAGTTTTTCTTGAAATAGTTTTAGCGCTATTCATCTCTGGAAGTATTGCAAAATAAATATTTAGCCCAACTTCCAATTACTATATAATTGAGGCAGTGTTAATAAACAATTCAAATTTCCATTATCCAAAGCGCAGAATATTGCGAAATTTCAATATAAAGATTGTATTGTTATTCTGATAAATAAACAATAGGGATTATCACACGTAGCGTTGTTAACTGTTATTCGTTCTTCGTTAAACTTTTATATGTATTTGGTTCTGGTCAATTTCACAAAATGCCAGCTTAACGAATAACACGTTACCTTGCCGGCAACTGTGACAAATTACTCGTTACTTGGTGAAACTGTAATCAAAATATTCCTGTCCCGAAGAGCGGCTTTTAAAAAATTAACAACTTTTAATTTTTTTGAATCATGAGTTGAACCGCAGAAACCAAAAACCATATCCCGAATCTTCAGCTAGTAATTACACACTACTTGTGTTTTAAGGGAAAAGGTGAATTTTGAATTTTTTAGAAAAGTTCTTATTTATTAATCAATATCAAATGGCATGGATCTATTTTGTCCCCTTCAAAGTAATCCTCCTCTGATATAATACACTTGTGCCAACGCGTATGTATATGACACCTGGAAAAGTAATTTGCATAATTTTTAACATGAGCTTCTTCTGATTTAATTTCCGTTCCATCAACATATCCAATGTTCTGCAGAATCTGGCCAGGACATATGTATATTGGTGCAATAGCTTTAAGAAACATCTAAACATCCTATTTGTAATTTTTCGAAAGTTTGCCACCGTCACCAATACCAAAAGCAGTGACAATTTTTGCATTCGACGACTTTCTGCTAATGAACCCAATCTGACTAAAACTATTGCGAGTTGTAGCTCTACAGGAACTGTTTACTCTTGATTCGTTATTTGAAATCAGTGTTAAAAGATTATTAAATTATGGCCGATTTACACGTAACATTTGGCGGAAGCGATTCTCATCCATTGAAGTCAGATATCTTCGTGCCAATGGATTGATTTAGAACAACATTTACAATCCCCTCCCGACACTTCATGACAACGTACAAATCTTCATACAGTTCGTGAAACGCGTTACCCACTTCATCTTCTTCGTTTTCGCTATATATTATATATATAAATATATATGTATATATAAATCTTTAATATTTAGGTTCAATTAACGCTATTCGTTGAATCATTGTTTCAATTAAATGTCTAATTATTTTTGATTTCGCACTTATTTTTGGCATTTTATTATTTTTGTTTATAATCTATCGAAAAATTTAACGATTACCAACTGACGTAGAAAAGTATACAGTTGACAATCTGTAACAAATTTATTGAACATAGAATAACAAATAACAATGTTACGTGTGAAAACCCCTAATATGAGAAAATCAACAAAATTTCCTGGAACACGCCTGAGCTATTGTTAAAAAAAATATATGCGTACAACTACTATTTATTAGTTTCATAACGTGTTAATACCGAAAACAGTATCTATATATATATAGGGACTAGACTATCTTAAAAATATTTCAAATATTTAGTATCTACTTTAGAAAGTAAAGTGGGAAAAGTGTGGTATGCTCGATAAACTAAAATGACACGCTTTTCTTACAATAATACAAGTATTTTTCGATCAGTTTATATTAATTATAAGCAATTTACGTTTTCTGGTGAAACACGCTCATCGTTTCCAGTACCATGTTAAGATGTATGTGTACAGACCGCTGTTATAAAAGCGAGAAATGTTATTTGTTTCTCCTGCTGTGTGAGGTCAGAGAATGTTGAAGAGTCATTCAAGTCAGATTCATTTACGTTCTCTGGTGAGGTGAATTCTCCGACTGAAATTTTACAAATGTTCGCTGTCGAAATTTCTCAGATTTAACTGAGATTGAGAAAATTTGATATTCAAATGACAGCATAAAGTTAATTTTATGTGCACTTTTTTTCCAGGATGGATAGTTTACGCTTTTAGCTGCATAGTTTTAGGCTCATATTTTTTGTTTTTTGCAGTGCCGCTTTGCCCTTTTGTGATCAAAAACTGTTGTTAATAATCGTATATTAAATAATATTTATTTCTGTACATATATAGCGTGGAAATTTGGTTAGTAGCCGCATGGGCAATGACAAATTTACGACAGCACGTCCGTCTACAGCTGTACGCGGAGTTGGTTATGGGGCAAACTCAGCTGGTTCCACAGGACAACGATTCGACCAACTATTTTTAGAAAAGGCCAAGCACCAAACGCTGTCGACTACAAATGCAGCTGTGGACACTAAAAAGGAAGTCAAGTAAGCAAGCCTAATAGTAAGGGTTAATTTTAGTAGAATTCAATAAATTCCATAAATAAATACAGTGGCTCAAACGTATAATTGGACGATTTTTGCAAATCAAGCAAAATGTACAAAGAAATCTCAAACGAGTGTATCGTTTGACTTTGCGAGAGTATAAAATGTTCGGTTACATCCGAACTTAGCCCTTCCCTACGTGTTTTTAATTCGTGTTGACCATATTTTTTAATTTTTCGCCGTTGTAAATTGTTTTGCCTTTACTTCTCTCAAAATCCACCGCTCATCACTTAATTTCTTTCCTTAGCCAATACGACTTTTATTTTCTACTTGAAAATTTTTTCGATATATTTGAATGATAGCATGAACTGTGAACGAGCATCGGTCAACAATTTCAGCGATTTTACGCACGGATTTATTTACTCTCTTCATATAGTCTTATAAAAAAAATGCCGCGCTTCTGAAGTTGTGTTTTTTTTGTTGATCAATTTCAATTTTGATCTGCACTTTGAACACTACACTTGCATACTGATTTATCATTTGTATTGGAATTAACGCCAACTCACTCGGCAGAAATAATAACGGACTCAAAGAACCGTTTACAACAATAACTTGTCATCTACATTACGTGTGCAATTATGCGTTTGACAAATTTTTTTTTGGTTCTGCATCAAAACTTTTTTGAAATTTTCTTATTGAAGAGAAAAATCGGCATTTGAATAATCTTATACTTACCAATTATACGTTTGAGCAACTGTATACACAAAGCTTCTTTACCATTTAAATATACTAAATTCAAATTATAAAGCAATTTTATAATTAAATGAACTTCTTAAAAATTTTAATTTTAATACATACCTATGTGTATGGAATAAAGTTATTCATACATACGATATGTTCTTAGTCCACAGGTTAAGTTTAAGCACCTCGAATCAAAAATCACAAAATTGCTCGAAGCTTCTATTATGTTATCAACAAAGAATGCATTGATTAATAACGGCACATCTGCATCGGAATTAAAATCACCATTATCAGAAGCGTTAAATAAGGCCAAAGAAGCTTTTTCACTGGATCGTACTTTGCATCAATTTCGAGCTCAATATGGAGAAAATATTTTCCACAATTTCGACCTAACTTATGCGGTAAGCCTTTTGAAACCATTTCTCAGATAAATTCCTGTTAAACTGATAAGAGCGTTTGACGCACATTTGTGTACTAGGTTTTCTTTAACCTGGCTGAACAGTACGAGTGCAATGACATGCACATTGAGGCTCTTAACACTTATAGTATCATGACAAAGAATAAAATGTTTCCACACGTGAATCAGCTGAAGTTA